TATATATATATATATATATATATATATTTATATATATATTTATATATAGATTTATATATAGATTTATTTGTTAATTAATTGATTAATGTATATGTTTGTTTGTTTGTTATTTTAATTAACAGACTAGTAGGGTTTCTAGTGTCTACAATAGTAATAACATTATTCGGCGAGATTGTCCCTCAAGCTGTCTGTGCACGTCACGGTCTTCGAGTCGGCGGAAATTTATCGTGGTTTGTTTGGGGGCTTCAGTGGTTACTTTATCCTGTAGTAAAGCCTATTGCTTTTGCTCTCAATTGTATATTAGGTACGCCCAGCATTAATATCAATCTATCTTTAAGTAGTTCTATTTGTATATGTATTTATGTCTATATATATATATGTATATATATTTATGTATAACAGACATAATATCCAAACATATATTTGTGCATGCATAAATGCTGCAGCAAGTATTCATCTGTACACGATTCAAGATCGTATATTTAACATAACACTGCTGCTGCTGCTGCTGCTGCTGATAGTGGTGGTAGTGGTGCTGCTGCTGCTGCTGCTGCTGCTGCTGATAGTGGTGGTAGTGGTGCTGCTGCTGCTGCTGTTTTTGCTGTTGCCGTTGCTGTCGTTCTTCTTTTAGAATTACCAGCAGCATTAGCATTAACAGCAGCAGCATGAGCAGCATTAGCAGCAGCATTAGCAGCAGCAGCAGCATTAGCAGCAGCAGAAGTATCCTTGTGTCTTCACGCGTACGATAGTATAAATCCGCTGCTGCTGCTGCTGCTGCTGCTGCTGCTGCTGCAGGAGAGGATCTGGGTACAATATACGACAGGAAGCAGCTTCGGGCGTTGGTTGATTATCATGATAATGTTGTGCATGTATTAACAAGCGACGAGGCGAGGATATTAAAGGGCGGGTTAGACTTTGCGTTTGTTCACGTGCACAAAGTTATGACGCCAATCGATAGAGTCTGCGGGTAAGAAGAGACACTTCAAGGAGACACTTCAAAGGAGACACTTAAAGGAGACAGTTTGAAAGGGACAATTAAAGGAGACAGTTTAAAGGAGACAGTTTAATGGAGACACTTTAAGGGAGGCACTTTAAAGGAGGCACTTAAAGGAGACACTTCAAGGAGACACTTCAAGGAGACACTTAAAGGAGACACTTTAAAGGAGACACTTTAAAGGAGACACTTCAAGGAGACACTTAAAGGAGACGCTTTAAAGGAGACACTTTAAAGGAGACACTTTAAAGGAGACACTTTAGAGGAGACGCTTAAAGGAGACAGTTTAGAGGAGACGCTTAAAGGAGACAGTTTAGAGGAGACGCTTAAAGGAGACAGTTTAGAGGAGAGTCTTAAAGACATATATATATATTATGTATATTAAGGGGTTCAAGGGTTTAGGGTTTTAAGGGTTTCGGGTTTGTAAGAGATACAGGTCTTTAAGTGTTGACAGCATTCTAGGGTTTATGGTTTTTAAGGGTTTAGGGTTTAGTGTTTTTAAGTGTTCAGGGTGTTTAAGAGGTCAGGGTTTTTGAGGGTTTAGGGTTTATAGTTTGTAAGGGTTTAGGGCATTTGAGTGTATATTGTTTGTATGGTTTTAGGGTTTTTGAGGGTTTAGGGTTTAGTGTTTTTAAGGGTTTAGGGTTTATTGCGCTTGAGGTTTTAGGGCATTTGTGTGCGTATTATTACTTTCACGTGTTTATTGCGTTTAAGGGTTTAGGGTTTAGGGTTTAGGGTTTAATAGGATTGATTGTGTTAATGTTTTATTGCTTTGTTTAGGCTAGAGATAGACACCAAACTCACCTTTGAGAAGATCTCAAAAATATTATCTTGCGGTTTTTCACGCATTCCTGTCTTAGACCTCTCGACTCCGCAGTGTATAGTCGGGCTTCTTTATGTTAAAGACCTGGCGCTCTTTGATCCTTATGTCGAAGGTGACGCAAGGGTTTAGGGTTTAGGGTTTAGGGTTTAGGGTTTGGGTGAGGGTTTAGGGTTTGGGTTAGGGCTTAGGGTTTGGGTTAGGGTTTAGGGTTTGAAGGGTTTTATATAAGGGTTTTAAGGGTTCATAAGGGGTTGAAAGGGGTATAAGGGTTTATAAGGGTTTATAAGGGTTTACAAGGGTTTATAAGGGTTAATAAGGGTTTGAAAGGGGTTTAAGGGTTTATAAGGGTTTACAAGGGTTTATAAGGGTTTATAAGGGTTTACAAGGGTCTATAAGGCTTTACAAGGGTTTGAAAGGGGTTTAAGGGTTTATAAGGGTTTACAAGGGTTTATAAGGGTTTATGAGGGTTTGTGCATGCAGTTGACGTGCGCACTTTGCTGCATCTCTTTGGGCGCAATGTCTACGCTGTGGATGAAGACACTGCTCTCCTAGACCTCCTCACAGCCTTCAAGAAAGGTATTATAATAATAAATAAATAAATATATATATATATATATGTATATATATGTATATGTATATATGTATATATATATATATATATATATATAAATGCATATATATATGTACTTGTATGCATGCACGTATGCATATAAATACATATGTTAGATAATATATATATAATATGTGTAGTCTGTCGCCCCTTGTCTTGCTGCTGCTTCTGTTGCTGCTGCTGCTGTTGCTGCTGTTGCTACTGTTGCTGCTGCTGCTTCCACGCGCGCGAAGCAAACAGTGTGCACCCCACACCGCATTGCATGCAGCTGCTGCACGATCTGCATAAGGGATCTTAATAAACAAAACAACAACAGCAGAAGCAACAGCAGCAGCAGCAGCAGCAGCAGCAGCATTAACATTAGCATAAGGAGCATCATTATGAACATCATTCCAAGCCGTATCACACCGCACTATATAATTAAATAAGTAAATAAATAAATAAATAAATTAATTAATTAATTTATTTGTTTGTCTTAGGTCATACGCACTTGGCGGTGGTTAGACGGGTTGAGTGCGGTACATCAGGAGACCCTTATTATAGACATGTAGGTATAATAACTCTAGAAGATATAATTGAAGAGATATTGCAGGACGAAATTCACGATGAGTTTGATCATGAGAAGCAGCAGCAGCAGCAGCAGCAGCAGCAACAGCAGCAGACGCAGCAGCAAGCTGTCGGAGGAGGGGGCCTTGAAACAGATGGAGCACCGCTTATGCTGCATGCAACAGCAGCAGCAGCAGCAGCACCAACAGCAGCAGCAACAGCAGCAGCAGCACAAGACAATTTCATGCAAATAAAAGCAGCAGATGCAGCAGCAAACAGCAGCAACACGCAGACACTCGGCTCTGTCGTTATCCAGATGAATTCTCAAAGGCAGCAAATGCAGCCTCCCTCTGCAGCACCCCGCAAACAGCAGCAACAGCAGCAGCAGCAGCAACAACAGCAGCAGCAGCAGCAGCAGGACCTCGTGCTGCAGCGAAGAAGCAGCTCTGGTGAAAGCCAGTGGTGCGAAGACTGTCATAGAGCGCAGCTCTGGGGCTGCGGCGTCTCTAAGGCTCTTGCTGCAGATCGGAGACCCCTCAAGATGGTGTCTCCTGTTCTTAATGAATATGCTGCACCTGAAAAGTTAGTTGCCCCCTCCTGCTGCTGCTCATCCTGCTGCTGCTGCTAATCATGCTGCTGCTGCTCGTGCTGCTGCTGTTGCTGCTGCTGCTGATGGTGTTCCTGCTACTGCTGAGGGTGCTATTGCTGCTGATGGTGTTGCTGCTGATGCTGATGGCGTTGCTGCTGCTGAGGGTGCTGCTGCTGCTGTTTTTTCTGGTGCTGCTGCTGTTGCTGCTGCTACTGGTGCTGCGGATGCGGGTGTAGTGAGTATTGCTGCTGTTGCGCGTATTTCTGCTGCTGCTGGTGTTGCTTTTGATGGTGTTGCTGCTGCTGACAATGCCTCGGTTATGCAGCGCAAGCTGCTGCTGCTGCTCAACTGCTGCTATGAGTTGCTGCTGCTGCTGTTGCTGCTGCAGGGCTGGTGGTGCCGTTGATGAACACACGATATTGAAGGGGAGAATGAAGTTAATAGACCAGTAAGGCCTCGCTTTGTGGGGCTTTCTCTGCATGCATGCATGCATGCATGCATGCATGCATGCATGCTTCTTTTGTCTCCTTTGATCTCTCTACTTTTGTCTCCTTTTGCCTCCTTTCTGTCTCCTTTATGTGTCATCTTTTGTCTCCTTTATATCTCTTCTTATATCTCTTCTTTTATCTTCTTTATATGCTGCTGCTGCCGCTGCTTGGGATGCTACTGCTGCTGATTCTGCTGCTGCTGTTTGTTGTGCTGCAGCTGGGTGTGCTTCTGCTGCAGGGTGTGTTATATATATCTATTTTAATTTTATTTTTTGTCTCCTTTGTGTCTCTGTTTTGCTGCAGTTCTCGCGTAGGCTCTTCGTTAAGCCGCTCGGAGGCCCTTGCTGTCTCTACATTTCTTTGCTGCGCTGAGCGCTGCTTCCAGCCACCTGCTGTCTCCCCGTTGCTGCTGCTGCTGCTGCTGCAGCATATGCGACCCATTCGTATTCCTTCCGGTGTACAGGTGAGAAGCAGCAGCAACAGCAACAGCAACAGCAGCAGCAGCAGCAAAATCAGGAGCAACACGAGCAGCAGCAAAAGCAGCACCACCAGAACCACCATCCGGAGCAGCACCAGCACTAGAAGCAACAGCAACAGCAGCAGCAGCAACAGCAGCAGCAGCAACAGCAGCAGCAGCAGCAGG